GCAGAATTCCGAGCGTGATGTCCAAGTCTTCCACTTTTTTGTTTTCGCATTCAATTCCAAGTTGACAATCATGTTTACCTTGTTGACTTGTGGTTTTGGCTATTGGCGATTTTGATGTTGTTAAGTACATCTATACTAAATTGATATATTTAGTTGATTTTACACTTTTAGATTTCTAGTTGGTAACCTAGAGAATCTATGTCTTGATGTGTGGTATTAGATATTCTAATTATGCTAAATTGTTATATTTAGTTGATGTTGCATTTTAGACTTCAAGTTGATAACCTTGAGAATCTATATGTTGTTGCTTTATGTAAGCATGCTTCTATGTTGTTGCTTTGTGTAAGTATGAACCTATGTTGCTAAAATTGCATGAATGAGGTGATTGATGCTAGAAATGATCTTAGGTAGCTAGGATGCTTCTTGAGTCTCACCTTTGACATAGACGTTAGGTGGAATGAACCACAATGATTAAATCATGCAAACTTATAAAACGTAGGTCGATGCATGCTCATTTCCTACGAGTAGCTTTATGTTACTCATCCCTACGATACTGGGGCATGTTTCAGGTACAAGAATCAAAGTTGAGGTCTTCATTATGCTTGGATGGTTTGTGGACTTGGAGACTTCCATTTTTGTGAAGGTTGGCTTGGAATGCCAATTATAGTCTTATATGTCAACATGTGTACATTTGATTCCTTATACGTAATGTGTACATTTGATTCCTTATATATAATGTGTACATGAGTTCACTCTTTATAATGTATTTGACATGTATGAGATGAGGCCGGAGGCTAATGACATGTAATTTGTATCCTATGTAAATTTTGACTTCATGGAATATTAAGAAAGTATTGAAAAATATTGAGTTTTTGCTTCACCATGTTTGCGTTGGGTGTGGGAATTCTATTTTGATTCTTCTATAGGGTCTCATTAATCATGTATGAAGTGTGGCCAAGGGCCAAATGGTATTTTGAAACCATTTCCTGATTTTAAATTCCAAGTTTTCGTTCCAAACTTCGTTTTTGGCATTTTGGCCGTTGGGGGGTCATATTTTGTATCGGCCATATTTTTGGGCCATAGACCATTGTAGCACGTTTTACTAGGTAAGTTACGTTTGCGTGCATGGTTGTTTCCGGGCAAGGATTCTTCTTTGGTGAAATGAGCCTCCTACGGACTCATTTTTCACTTTTGTTGCATATTCTGACCTAAGGGTATTTTGGGAATTTTCTTTGGAAAATAAATTCCGTTCTTCACATGGTTGATTAGAAAATATGATTTTAGGAGGGGTTTCTTTTTCGTGTTTTTCCAGAAAATGCCATCTTGGCATCGGAAATCGCATCCGAAGTTCAGCTCTCAGTTTTTAAATTTAGCAGCTTTTTGGACCCTCTGGACTAGTTTTCTTGGGAGGGCATTTTGGGCATTTCACATTGCGTATTTTTCGATTTTTCTCGTGATTCACGTAGAAAACTCGATTTTGAGGGGGGTTTTTTCTTTGTGTTTTTTCAGAAAATGTCATCTAGGCCCTCAAATTTCCATTTTTTTCCCGAAAAACCCCTGCTGCCAGGTTTTTGGGTCGCACCCTTACTGCCCCTTCACATCTAAACGGTTACGAGGGGTTTCGTAACCGGTTAGATGAGTGTGGGCAGCGTTTTTGTCACTGTTTTTGGCTTTCTAACCGGTTAGATAGGATATCTAACTGGTTAGATGTTCTTGGGTTGGCACTTTTTGACCGTTTTGCCCCTTCTTCTTCCGTTAGCCATATCTTCTTCATCTGGATTCCGAATCAAGTGATTCTTGAGTCTAAATTCATTAATTTTTCGTTGTCTTTTCAATGGTTTGCTCGGTGGCACCCACTTTTAAGCTAGAAATGACGATTTTGCCCCTAGGTGCATTCTTGTCCGTTTTTGAAATGTTGTTTCCGCATTTGATTCATTTGGGTCCCATGACCTCGTTGAGGGTCACAATGGTGTCTTAGAGTCATGTTGTATCTCTAGAGACCGTTGTTTGTCTTTTGCTTCCGCATTTCGGGTCCGTTATCGGTTCATCATTGACGCACCAGGTTGAAAAACTTGGGCCATCTCATGTAGCTCGCCCAATGTGGTAGCCTGCTAGTGCCTTGCACTCGCCCACATAGCTCGCCACATGGATTCTTCTTCCCCCCCCCCCAAAAAACACAAACCCCAACACACCCACACCCCAATATTCCTCTTTTACTTGTAAGGGAGAAAGATGTTTCAACTACTATTGATTCTTTTCTTTTGGTATAGTCCTTTATGCGTTTAGTGACAAACAATGGCCCTACTGTTTGCAATTCATACAGATTCCCAAACTTGAATCTTGATTGCATATTTTAAATTGGTTCTCCTTTCTCAGTTATTTTTTCATGATTTTATCATTGGCCAAGGCATACCTTAGTGGAATTTCCTTGTGTAATCTTCATGATTCAAAAGATGCAGGCGGTACTTGTAATATAATCCAATCTCCTTAATGTGGTGGAGGAAACTAGTAGATTAAATGTCTCCGGCACTTTTTTTAATGGTGATCTTAAAATGTATAAATTGACTAGAGATCACTGGATGCATCTTTACATTACAATTTGACACTTTCTTGTGTTACAATTTGGAACTTGGACAGTTTCTATGGTTTTAACATGATCTCTCGAAGTTTAAGATGTCCAGTCAGGATCATGAACTTCTAAGCCAGATATCTCGGTCTCATGTTTTTATATTTTGGTATGTCTAGTGGTTTTTATTATTTATTTATTTATTAGGCGAGTACTCACACTTTGCCCACCATGGTACTCGAACCTCTACCATCCTCAAAGAGGATGGGGAGGTTGTACCATTGGGCTTGAGGCCCTTTGGTATATTTGGAAGTATTTAGTAGTTTCTGTGCTTTACAGTTTGTTATTTGTAGATCTTTTTCTTTGTTTCTTACAAATCATACGTCTTTTAATTAGTTTTTAGTTACCAATCTTTTTTTTTGATAAGTAGTTTTTAGTTACCAATCTAAAGAATGCCATCACACACACATACACAGATGTTTTGGAAAAAAAATGTCATGTTAGGATATACGACTTAGGTTGACAAATTTGTATCCAAACTTGGAGTCTGTATTTTTGTTCATTTTAAAGCGTCTATTTGGTTAAATTAGTTATGGTACTTTGTCGAAGGGCAGATCAGAATTTTCACAAGTACAAAGAAGAATTAATTTATAACTTGATTTGGGACACTCACCAATTTGGGTTTCACATATAGTAATTAGGGCTGCATGATTTGCATATGTAAAATTTCAAAATCCTTATTTAATATGCATTAAAAGTGTTTTGGAAACAAAACTGAAATCCAAAACAAACCAGGACAACAGACTTCGATCAATCAAGGGAACCATCAAAGCCTAATGATCTTCTGTTGATCAATTGACAATTGGTTTGGTTGACTGAACAGCTCGTGTCTGAATTTCTTTTTTGAATTAAACTAGTCTAAAAGCCTATTTTCTTTGACTATTTCTATATAAAAAGGTACGTATTGTTCAAGAAAGAAGAGATGAGACTAGCTCAAGTTCTAGGGCTTACTACTGCCATAGAAGCGTTTCATTTATAGTACCTGTGCATTCCAGTGATCCTTTGATTACTAGATTTCGTGTATTTTCATCCTCCATCATACATCTAGCATTTTGAGTGGATCAATCGGTTGTTGAAGGTTAAAGGATTTGAACAACAAAGTCTACATACACAAGAGGACATTACTAGAAAGAAATAGTAGATCCATGGAGAAGCAGAGTTCATTATAAACGGAGAATGTGGACGGATCTGGAATTGGTCTTGCTTAAGTCTTAGTTGGAGAGGCTAACCAGTGTAGTTAATTGAGGGTGCTGGGAGGGCAAAATGGATACAAACCTAAAATTTGGCCTTATTTTCACAAAGTGGCTGCTCTCAAGATTCGAACCCGCGTTAACAGATAGAAAGAGGGTTAAGAAAGAGAAAAAACAAAGAAACAAAGAGGATTAGGGTTTTGTTATAAAAAGAATTAGGGCTTAGTTAAAAATAATGGTAAGAATCTATAGAAGCTAAAAAGTTAATGGAAACAAGAGGAAAAAGGAAAGAGAGACAAAAAGAATTTTGTTGTGAAAGGAGAAAAAGAATATCTAGGGTTTGTGAAGAAGAAGAAAGAAAAGAGGAAGAAGAAGAAAGAAAAGAGAGGAGAGAGAGAGAGCGACCATCCACCAGCAGCGAAGCTTGGTCGTTGGGAGAACAAATGAGAGTCCAAGTTACTTGTGCAAGATTTTGAACGTTTGAACTAAAATATAAGCTTAAATAAATGAATTGTTCCAACGTTTAAGTAATTATGTAATGACCACCGTAGTATAGAAAGTTATTAAACAACTCCCCATATTTACACTTCAACCCAATTTTCTTTCTAAAACTTTCTTTAAATCCCCAAGAATGTGACACGTGTGTTGGTCATGTATGCATGGCGTGTCGGATGCATGTCCACAACATGTCTGTGTCATCTAAATATTAAAAAAAGGAGAAAAAAAGTAAGACACATTTGTTGGTGTGTCTGTGTTTCCTAGGTTCCCATGCTTGTTTGGCATGTGTCGATGTTTGACACGTGTTTGACATGGATTCTTTGCCTTTTTAGGCGTTTCCATGCTTTCTAGGTTCCCATGCTGTAATATGAACTTTTACTGTGTATTAGGTAATAGCCCCCTAGATTGAACCATGTATTTAAGATATTATTTTGCTCTTGATTCATAGAAAATAGTTTTTATTGGAATTGGTCCTCTGTAAGATCAACTTTCCTAAGTTACATAGTTTTAAGTTTCAAGATTGTGTGTCCAGCAATAAAGCTATACTCGTACTTCATATGTAAGCTTAGGAAAGTAAGAAGATTAGACATTAATCTTTGATTTTCTTGCTGATTGCAAAACCATTTGCTACATAAATTATCGTTAATGGAATCTATGTAGCTAAGCTCTCTCTCTTCTGCATCCAGGATGCTGTGGCTATGGTGCAGGATATACCAGATGCAGAAGCAGCATCAAGAAAACTTATAGAAGAAGCCTATGCAAGAGGGAGCTCTGACAACATCACTTGTGTAGTAGTTCGATTTGAGAGCCCGTGACAACACATATGAATGTCGTGCTTTATCTTTCGTGTCTCATCATCGTAAATTGGAAGTGGAATACTCATTTTATCAGAATTGCGCTCTTAAAATCATGCAGGTTTTTAAAAAACCCCGGAAGGAGGACCCGAGCCACAGTACATGAACAGGCTTCAAATTTATTGATCTTTGCCTATTATATCTTGATGACCATATAAGTTATTAGTGTGATGGCTGAGTTCTCAAGTTTTGGATTATGATTTTATTTTATCAATGTAATTCTGATGAGTTCGTATCTCTCTGTGGGAAATTGTAAGTTTGGTGTCGTATTATTGCATATCACTCTGGTCATCTCATGATTGTCTCAATGGGCAGTTATATTTGGCCTACTTGAAGATGACGATATGATAAATTAAATTGTTCATTGCTACAAGTTTGTAGAGATTGATTGGTTGATTAGTGAATGTGACTTGTTTTTAAATATGAATAAGAAGCTGATAACATGATGAAAGTAGAAAACTTCCGTAGGTTCTCATCAATGATGAACCAGAGTTCCAAACACGGGAAGATATAAATCTTCTATATATATATATATATATATATATATATATATATAAGCTTACTCGTACAAGTTTTACAGTAAGCAAAAGTAGGGATTGTTTGTTTCGTTTGGAGAACTGAAAATACAAAAAATTGTTTGGCTGATAGTTTTTGAGAAAAATAAAAACCATGTTTTTAGAGAATTGTTTTTTATGGTTTTTTTGAAATCAAATTTTTTCATGAGTTCTTGAGTCACAAACCAAGCAAATAGTTTGTCAAGCGTATTTATTTTTCATGCTAAAAAAATAGAAATAATAAAATTAGAAGATTATTTTCTACTGAAGTTTGGGGAAGTTATAGGATTGTATTTCCATCCCTTTTAATTTTTTTTTTTTTTTTTTTTTTTTTTTTTTTTTTTTTTTTGCTGTAAACAGTAATTTTGAAAAAAAAAAATATTTTATTTTCACTGAAAAAAAACCCACAAATTATTCTGCCGCCAATTCCTCCTTTGAACGTTATCCATCTCATCCATAAAAACATGCATCAACTCAATTAGTTTAAAATTTAAAATAGTAAAATCTACTTATGGATGCTCAAGGTATCTTTAATTTAAAGGACTAGTTTTCTCATCAAAGTTGCCCATGTCCACATCATGTCCGTGTTTACAAATGTTTGATAAAAAAGTATTCAAAATTAAAAGATATGAGGACTAATTTTAAAAGTCATTTAAGAGTTTTATTTTATTTTATTATTATTATTATTGTTTTACTGCCTTCCTCTTTTTTGGAAATACTTTAAAGCACCAAATTGGTGTTTTGACTTTTTGCCACCATCCACAACATTGTAAAAAATAATACATTTTTTTATCTAATGTATTTTTTATTTTTTTCAATGTTTACTACTACCATACTAAACACCGACAAAGAAATGACAACCAAACAAGTCCTAAATTTGGAATTTTTACATAATTACAGTTTAGCATCACCATTGCATTGACATTTTAAGTAGGTCAAATTTTTATGCATTTTTAGTCAAAAATGGGTTTTGGTCATGTTACTAAATCATGGTCATTAGGCTCCTTAAGACACAAATCTAGGTTGGTACTTGAAAATTTGTTGAAACTTGTTATATTGTTATATATATATATATATATATATATATATATATATATATATTTTTTTTTTTTCTTTCCATATGCCAGTTGCACAAACCTGTATCAAGGTTACTAATTATACAAATTGAAATCCAATAAAAAATTATTCAGATTAATATATAAAAATTACAATTATTGATATAATTAAAAGTATCATTTTCAAATTAAAATGTACAAATATTATATTATCCAAACATTCGTGCATATTCTCAATAAAGAATAAAAAAGAGTGACATAATAAATTCAGGTCTTCTATAAAGGAGATCAGGGTTGGAGCCTCTGTGAATGCATGTGTGTGTGAATACTAACTAAAAAAAAAATTTCATAGAGAATGTTAAATTCCATATCCAACAAAAGAAATATCCATAAAGATAGTCAATTCTTTTAAAGGAGATTTGAAAATGGAAAACTATATTTTAGTTGATTTAGTAGTCCGAATAACAAAGTGATCCATTTTAAAAGTTTATTTTAAAATATGGTTGTATTAAGTAAAATAATTATATATGCATTAATAACCATTGTTTATGTCTAAAATACCCTATAAATTCTTATTTCAAAATAAGAAATAATATTCCTTAAATCAAATAATTCATTCACACAAAATACGGATTTGTTTGGAATCTAAATGCTTGGAACATATCAGAGTGTTTGGGATTGTGCTTAAATAATTGAAGTAACCATAATTATCAAAGTTTATAAATTGATTTCAAGCATAGTGGGTTCAATTCTTTTGCCCAGTCCAAACTAAAAAAATACTCATCTTCTACTTAAAATCCACATAAACAGGGAAAAAAAAATAAAAAAAATTTAATTATAGCATATCAAATGCTTAAAATTTAATGAAGCCCACACCAACCAAAACAGAGTACTACATTAGGTAAAATTTTAGAGCTTCGAGAGGCATTAAAATGAGTTTTATAGTGAAATAAAATTTAAAAGCTCTTGAAGAATTCAAAAAAGATTTAATTTGAAAGTCTTTTGAGAAACAAGTAATTATTGGAAATGCTAATAGCTTCTTTCGGAATTTTAGCAACCTTTTTTTTTTTTGTCTTACTATTCATAGTTTTTGTTAAAAATTAAAATCCTCCATTGATTTTTTTTAAAATACCCCGCTGTATATAATTTACCCCCTTTGATATTTTTGAGTTTAAAAGATGGTAGAATAATTACATAACTATCAATTTTTTAAAATATCTCATTACATATTTTTGTCCCCATAGTTGTTGGTAATTTTTTATTTATTTTTAAATATCTAACTCCAATTTTTTATTTTTTTATTTAAATAACTACCAATTTTTTAAAATATCTCACTCCAAAATTCAGCACTAACCCACTGGGCTATTGAGGCATGCCCATAATTATTTTTATAATTCATTAATTATTATGATTTGTAAATTTTCAATTAATGACAAATAAAATTGCTTTAAGACTATATACATAAAACAATATAATTAACGTTGGTTGTGTTCCCATGTCCTAAGTCACATAAAGCGGGAGCGAGAGTAAATTCGAGAGCGGAGTATGAGAATGGCATAATTAAGTTATAAGTAGTGAGAATTTGAGAAAGAGCGCGCGGAGCACGAGAGTGGTAGCACGTTCGAAACACAAGAGTCAGAGCATGAGAGCGACACTTATTAAAAAGAATTGTGTGACTTAGTGCATGTCATGTCGTTGTAGACCCATATCTCTGTCCGGGTAATAAACGAAAATATTATCAGCTAAAATTATATTTTAATATTTGTTAATTTATTTTAAAATAAATTTTCATTCAAATATATATATATATTTAAAATAAATTAAACAGTTATAATATTGGGCTTCATTTAAGTCACAGGCCTGCTTAAAGCTTGACGGACCTTTCTTTCAAAAAGACAAAAACCCACAGCCCAAAACACAAAACCCTTCTTCACTCTCGGAAGGGGTTTCATTAAAACTTCTCTCGTCTCTTCCGACTGGTGAGAGGCGAGAACAATCTCTCTCTCTCAATCTCCATCTCTCTCTATATATATCCGAGCTCCAAGAATTAACATGTAAGAACCCAAACCGTAGTTTGTTTACTCAATCTGATCGCTATACACACACACACACACACATATATATACATATAACTCGTTTTTTTTTATTACAAATTCTTCAGATAGTTTTCAATGGCGAGAGCGAGCACTCGTCTGGTGAGTTCCAAAGCAGAGCAAAAACGGGTCGAGAAGCAGAAGAAGAAAGCGAAATCAGGAGGGTTCGAGTCTTTGGGTCTGAGCCCTAGTGTGTTCAGAGGTGTTAAACGAAAGGGTTACAGAGTGCCCACTCCGATACAGCGGAAGACGATGCCACTCATACTCGCCGGCCACGACGTCGTCGCCATGGCCCGAACTGGGTCCGGCAAGACCGCGGCTTTCCTCGTGCCCATGCTCGAGAAGCTGAAGCAGCACGTCCCTCAAAGTGGCGTTAGGGCTCTCATTTTATCTCCCACTAGAGACTTGGCGCTTCAGACCTTGAAATTCACAAAAGAGCTCGGTCGATTCACAGGTCAGTAATATTAATCCCATATATATGTGTGTGTTTATATATTTTCGTATGAACTGTAATTGATTGTAAATGGAAAGTTAAAAGCAAATATTATGATTTAATAGGTTTAGTGTTTGATTTGAATTGGTTATTAAATATTAGAACTGCAATGTAATTGGCCCAATGACAAGAGCCGTTGAATTTTGTTTTTTCCCAGGATTTCTTCTACTTTACTGCCCATTGTTTGGTTACTGAGAAAACTGAGGAGAACAAATGTCAATAAAAATTTGAATGGTGTGTTTTAGTGTTTAATGTGTTTGGGGGTTCTAGAAAGTGGTGCTCAAATTTGGTTAAGGGGTTTATATGTACCTTGCTTTGTTGATTGGATAAATTATGAAAATTTTTAAAAGTGAAAATTATATTTTCCTACATTTTAATATAGTGTGTTCAGCAGATTTGCCTAAAAGACTTGCTTGTGCATCTCCAATTTAGTAATTATCCAATTTTGCTATTTTCCGAAGCTGATATGAACTGTTTTTCATGACATATTAATTTGTGGCAAAGGAATGGAAATTTTCTTGCTGGTTTTTTTATTGTGAACTGATATATATATATATATATATATATATATATATTTCTTTCTTAAATATTTAAAGATACTTTGTCTTCAATACAGATCTTCGTATTAGTTTGCTTGTTGGTGGTGATAGCATGGAAAGCCAATTTGAAGAATTGGCACAGAATCCTGATATCATTATTGCGACTCCTGGTAGGCTCATGCACCATTTGTCTGAGGTTGATGATATGTCATTACGTACTGTGGAGTATGTCGTGTTTGATGAAGCTGACTCTCTCTTTGGCATGGGTTTTGCGGAACAATTGCATAAAATTCTTAGCCAGTTGAGCGAGAACCGCCAGACTTTGCTTTTTAGTGCAACTTTACCAAGTGCCCTTGCCGAGTTTGCCAAGGCTGGTCTGCGAGAGCCTCAGCTCGTTCGACTAGATTTGGATACTAGGATTAGCCCTGATTTGAAGCTTGCCTTTTTCACCGTACGGCAGGAAGAAAAATATGCGGCATTGTTATATTTGACAAGGGAACAAATTAAATCCGATGAGCAAACATTGATATTTGTTTCCACAAAACATCACGTGGAGTTTCTTAATACTCTGTTCAGAGAGGAGGGTATTGAGCCTTCTGTATGCTACGGTGATATGGATCAAGATGCTCGCAAGATCCATGTATCAAGATTCAGGGCAAGAAAGACTATGATGCTGATTGTCACGGATATTGCAGCTAGGGGCATTGACATCCCATTGCTTGATAATGTTATCAACTGGGACTTTCCTCCCAAACCAAAAATGTTTGTCCATCGAGTAGGGCGGGCTGCAAGGGCAGGGCGGACTGGTTCTGCATTTTCTTTTGTCACACCTGAAGATATGCCTTACCTTTTAGATCTTCATCTCTTTCTCTCTAAACCGATCAGGGCCGCTCCCACTGAGGAGGAGGTTCTACAAGATATAGATGGAGTAATGTCCAAAATTGATCAAGCAATTGCAAATGGAGAAACTGTCTATGGACGTTTCCCTCAAACAGTCATAGATCTTGTTTCAGACAGAGTTCGGGAGATCATTGATTCATCAACAGATCTGACTTTTTTGCAGAAAACCTGTACAAATGCATTTCGCTTGTATTCAAAGACAAAACCATTGCCTGCTAGGGAGTCTATTAGAAGAGCAAAAGTTTTACCCCGGGAAGGGTTGCATCCTATTTTCAAAAATGTGCTGGGTGGCAATGAGTTAACAGCAATGGCTTTTTCTGAACGTTTGAAAGCTTTCAGGTATTTTAAAATATTTTTCCCCTTGAGGTTGAGGTCTTTAAAAGTATCAGTTACTTTTTGTTTGCTTTCTTTATTTTTTTCTTTTTAAACAGACACAATTTTTGAATCATTTAATAAATAATATGTATGTATTAGGCCCAAGCAGACTATTTTGGAAGCTGAAGGTGAAGCTGCTAAATCAAAGCATTTACATGTAATTTTCTGCTCTAATATCTTTGCACCGTTCATGTGTATGAGATATATGGTTTTGGGTCTCTAGAAGGCATAATATGCAGTTTCTTGTAATCGTTTACTTGATTGATCTAAATGCAGGTAGTTTGATAATTGTCAATTTTGTATGTTTATTTTGCTTTTATCATAAAACTGGATTTTCTTTTCTCTCATTACTCGTTAGGGCATCCTTCTCATGACTAATCCCTTTCATATTTTGTTGTGATTTTGACATTTTGTCCATGAGAAACTGTTTAAAATAAGTAGACAAGATTGATCCTTTTATTTTATGAATGTGAAAATAATTTGCTATGCGATGTTATCTTAAAAAATTGTTCACTTCTCTTTCATATATTCTTTCTTCTACATTTGTTTTTAGAACTATTTGACCATACAGTCATTATATTTGTGGAGAACTCTCCTCTCTGTTTAAAGTTCAGGTCCATTTTATATGAAGATAACAATACCAAAGAAGTTGATACTTTTTTAAGGTATGGTGAATGGGACTTTATTAGGTGAATATAGGAGACAAGCTTTTCAAAGGGTAAAACATCAAAGAACTGGACTGAGGACTCCCCAAAATATTAAATTTTTATAGAACTGTCTATGGGGATTAGAATCTTGATTTTTTCTTAATAATCCTTCCTCGCACCTGAAATTGCACGAGTGCCTGCTTCGAATTCATGTTCAAATTGAAGAAAATCCATATTTTCACTCCCAAAAGGACATAATTTCACATCTTGAATCTCCTATATCTTGTTTTCAAAATTTCACATTCATGAAAAAATTCTTTCAACTGGGACAGTTCTTTCCATGTTGAAGAAACTAGATTCCATGGCTATTGTTTGCTGCCTAATGGTGGTTTAAACATTTGAAGTTATGGTATTGGTTTCTAACTCGGGCAGGAAGAGGGCTCACCTCACCGAGTATCAGATTGATATTGGGCTATAAATTACATCCAAGGCCAAAAAATTTAAACTTGTGAAAATTTTAAATATAATGGTTAATATGGATACACTACATTCTATAAAAAACAAAATGGATGCATAAAATAAACCAAATACGCATCTAAAACCAATAATTTTGCTGAAAGATCAGTACAGGCCACAATCCACATTGCACTAGTCTACACATTATTACATAAACGATAGTTTAAAAGTAAGGTATAGTTTAAAAGGCATAGATATTGATAATACAAAGTAAGGTAAATAGGTTGCAAAAATCTAAAAAAATGGAAGCATTGTAAAAGAGATTGCAAATAAAAAAATTGTAGTATTCGAATGTTGTTAGTAAAAGTTAAGACATGTTATATATCTAAATAAATTGATAAAGATTAATTGAAAATGTGTATCTTTATTTATTTATTTTCCTGAAAAATAATGAAAGATTAGAAAAAGTAAAAATAAATGTAATTTATCATACATGAATCACCTACTTTACCCCCTCTGAAAAAAAATAAAAAATTCAATCACCTAAATCTGCAAGAAGCACACATGTTTCACTAAGATTTTTTATATCCAAGTTACTTATTAAAAAAAAAAAAAAAAGATTTTTTATATCCAAGTTTGTACTTAATCAAGTTGAAAAATGGAAAGAAAAACTCACATGGCCTTTTTGAGTATAACAACTTGTAGAGCATGAAGTTTTGACATTTCACGTGATGTCGTGTGTTATGTCTCATGATCTAAGACTGGTTCAGCTGAGATGGGTTGTCTATCTTGCCATTTGCCAATATCTTGCTATTATTTCATTCCACATCACAGTGTCGTATGGGAATTCTCACACTGTCAAATATTAGAACACTTATCCAAAACCCATACTTGGTGCTGAACATGGATACATAATCGCAAAATCACATGCGTTGCTATATTGGACAATATGCTTCATCAACTGATAACTTTATGAGAATCATCATAAGAATCCAAGTATTATCTATAGATATGTATGAAGCTCCGTTAATCTTTACATAGCAATCCTCACTACAAGACTGCAAGTTCTCTCAATACTAAAAAAAAAAAAAGGAATGACTACCAATTACTAAGGCTAAATCAGAAGAAGTTATCCTTCCACCATCCAACTCCCCAGCTGCATTAAATATTAGAAACCCAGAATAGATGGAGTGACTTAATAGCTTAGAGCAACAAACAACCCTACCATTCATCAACACATAATTGTATCTCTGCTAATAATGACATAAGCTTTGAGTAACTATAGAAGTTTGGGTCTTATTAATTGTCAAATATAATCATTCTGTAAGCTTTATCCAATTATCATATTTAACAATTAACATAATATTACTTGATTGTTGTTCTGGAACATTAGTTTCTTTATGTTAATTCACTTAATTTGCTTGTTTACTTATTCATTACTTACTAATACTCATTCATGACTAATGTGTCACAACGGTTGTGGGTACTCTCAAAACCACACAAAGAGAATCATACACAACTCTTGAAGAATCCATGTCCGAGTATTGTGTGTCCGACACAGGTACTTCACCTGCTTTTGAAGAATCCATGTAACATATTGTCAAAAGGTTCACACAGTTTATCCACAGATGTACAAGGACTGCAGATAGCTATTTCTCAGTTAAGGCTCTCTCAGCTAGAAACAGTTCTCAGAGAGTTCATTCAGATTTACACGAGACACATAGCTCACCCTCGAGTGAAGTTGCTCACAAGTTCACAACACGTCCAAGTCTCCAACTCTTACCCTAACCCCCGCTAACAGTGGATTACTCGGTACAATGGGTTTTGTACATAACATACATGCCCATGAATCACTAGGAACTGAAGTAACTCTCCCAATAATTCCTATATTTCGTCTATTTACTGCTTCCATGGTCCATATTATTTTTATCTATTTTAATCACATTATAATTTACTAGTCTTGTTAATTAAGTTCATTATTTACACTAATTTATATATATATTCATAATTAATGATTAAGTTTACATTATTATCAAATAATTTAAGGCTTCAAGTAATTTATTAATTAGTCCATATAATTAATCTCACTAAAAATTAGCTTTTTAACTCGTACTATTTTATTATAATTTTTTTTTTCCTGCATGGGTTTTTTTTTATTTTTTTATTTTATATATATATATATATATAAGTTTCAAAAATACAATTACAAGGAGACGTATCTCCATTACATAGCAAAGAAGTGGAGTTAAATCCACAAAAAAAAACTTCCAATTAAAATTGGAATAAAACAGAACACCAAAAATAAAAAAGGGAAGAGGCTTCTATAAAAAATTACTGCTCTTTGAGAAGGCCACTCTTCTGTCAGAAGCTCACAAACTGAGCTGAAGCAAATTTGAAACAGCCCCATTATCAGCCCAGAAACAGAGCCAAACTACACCACATCAAAAAGCATCATTAAGTCAGTAATTCCCACTGAGAAAAATTGCAAAACTTCCCAAATAACATTATTTGCAGCAACTGAAGCTTGTTCCTTTGTTCCACCATGCAATGATGTATTTCTCTCCAACCAAATCTTCCAAATGAAAACACACAATATGCCTTTAAGGATTTTAGACTTAAGACATGCTGTTTGAACCTGTAATAACAGCCACTCCACGAACTGATTAAAACCTTGAAACCTCACAACTGGTATATGCAACCTATCTGAAACATGCTGCCATACTTCCATAGCATAAGAACACTTGCAAAACAGATGATCGTTAGAATCTTCCTCCTTAACACAGTTGTGACAGATAGCCGGACCAGAGAAACCTCTTTTTTTCAAATTGAACCAAGTCAAATTCTTATTATGCAGTATAATGACAGTCAAGACAGCAACCCTTGGCCTGCAGAATTTCCAACACAAATCCTTCCAAGTAACAATCTGCCCTCTAGCTCGACAAACTCGCCACACATTTTTCAAGCTAAAACTGCCATGAGACCATTCAATAACATCTTGCCCAGGAGTCATCACAATATTACTTATGAAATTTGCCGCAGCAACAGGAAAGAAAGGGGGGAAGGACCACTGTCCATTCACAATTAAAGTATCAACCTTGGCCCTCTTATCATAATTCCTAAATAGAGCAGCCCCAAATCTATGGACTAAAGATAACCCTGTACACCATGGATCAAACAACATATTAAACTGATTACCATTTCCAATTTTGAAAGCTGCATTTTCCTGAAGAAACTCTCTTGTATCTAAAATTTGTTTCCAAATGTTAGAATCCTGCACCTTAGGTTGAACCATCCAGAAATTACCCTGCTGTAAGTATCTAGCATGCATCCACTGAACCCACAAGGCTTCCTTATTCTTCACAAAACCCCAGCAGATAACAATTTTAGCTGCATAATCAACATCTATTAATCTATTTTATTATAATTATTATGAATTCTCATCAATTTAGCTTTATTTTTCTTTATTTACTATGATTTTATTATATTTATTTCTAATTTAATCAATTAATCAAAGTCCAGTCAAATTGGTTCAAAACAGGTCAAACCGGATTGGGAGGCACCTACACACATTGGACCTGTTTGGGCGTACGCTCCTCCCTTCTCCAGTGTAGTAGTGATTTACCTCATATTTTCTCCTCATTGATTTCATTTTCATCAATAAAATGATCTCAGAACGGCACCAAATTTTAAAATTTTACATTTTTTAATTTACCAAGTGAGACAAACTCAACATAATTACTTCAAAAATCCTAATGGATTGCTCGACTTTTTGAACCGAATTGGCTGATTCGATCATGGTTAAAACCAGTTTTCTATTCATTATGAATCAACGTCGGGCCTCAATATCACCTATCTATTGATATTGAAACAATATGATTTAGGGGATTACCCCACGAGATGTGAAGATTCTAGTGGTATAAAAATTACTTCCAAATGCATCTCGACCATGGGTTCAATCTGGTTTTTCTTCTAACGGTTCATAGTCTGCTTCTATACATCATTAATCCTTGGGACTACCCAAATACAGATTCGTAAAGGTGGTTTTGCACTAAATTTTGGAGTTTGGATTGTTAAGTTTATGAATTCACCATTAACAGTGTACCTATATATAGTATATATATACTCATGTATTCACTATTACCATATACTGAAAAACAACATCCATACCAGGGAAAAAAAAAAAATTATAACACGGTGTTTATATAAATATAATCACACATATATCTCTATGATCAGTCAATATATATATGCAAGTATAATTACCACGTTATTTTTTATGTACATATACATATCCAGATATGAAGAGTTAGATTTCATAAGCCTATTAGATGCCCCTTATGAACCGTAAGATTTCACAAGCTTATAAACATTTGTATATTCAGTGACCTATAGACATTTATATTTACACACACGCGCACACACACACACATATAAAAATTAAATTTCTGATGTATACAATTATATACTGATAAAGGTTAGATTGATAGTTGCCTGTTTCTTTTCCAAATAATATTACTGTATTGTTCAGCAGGGTGCCTTACGATGCCTCTCTCTCTACCCTTCTTTTTTTCCTTTTACAGAGTATGTGTAGGATATCCTATTTAGCTAACTGAGGTCCTCTTCATGTATATCTTTTGCGGATGTCTGCTATTATGAACATTTTCTTTTCAGTACTTTAATAATGATATGAGAAATATCAATGTCTACATTTAATTTTAGAGGGAATACTTTATCTATTTGGTAATCTATTATGTTCACTTTACATTGACGCCAAATATTTATTTTTAGGGTTCTTCTAGTCAATGGGTTGATGTTATGAAGAAGAAAAGGGCCATACATGAGAATGTCATTAATTTGGTACATCAGCAACGCTCTAGTGACTATGTGGCAAAGGTAAAGCCCTTGCTCAAATTCTTCAATTTGGAACTTGGAAATGCATGCACGATATATTATTTATTTCTACTTTACATATATTCACGAAAACCACCATATCTGGTGTCATATTGTCATTCTTATGCTGCAGATTTATCGTTTATTTTAACTCACAAACTATATTTCAGAGCAAGTTCCTGGAAGTCCATCATGTTTGAGTTTGTGCAATGAAACTTAAGGTTGTTTCATTGGAAATGTTAGAAAATAATGTTTTTTTTTGCTGTTTTTAGGATAAACGATATCATGTTGTAGTAAAAGATTTCTGCCCTTTCCACAATGAGTTTTCGTCGTCTCAATTCTTTTGTAGTATATTTGTGAACTAGGGTTTACTTAGGTTTTCAAAATGAAAACGTTTGTTTTAATCCCTCATTTGCCTGAGAAAGAACACAGAACTATCTCTATGTATATGAAAGATTTCAATATGTTGTTTTAGTCAAGCATCATTGTGCCAGGCTTGGCGTGGTTAGCTTGAATTTTCAATGTCCAGGTGTAGCCTAAAAAATTAGATGATCCCAAGTATTAGTCTTTTCCCTAGGAAGCTATATGGTAAATCCTAGGCCCCTAAATATTTTGGTTGGTAAAATGAGATACAGTAGTTTTTGGGGCTTGGTCCTTGTAAACATGTTTGATGCTGATTGATAAAAATGGTGTAATAAATAGGTTTTCTTTGAATTTTATCTGTTAGCTCACTATATGTCCCTTCTTTGTATGGAGTGATTAATCTTTTGGCGCTGGTTGCAGGAAGCAGAATCTGAATCTGAATTTACATCTTCAAAGGACAAGGGGAAAAAAGGTTTGTCCTTTTCCAGTCATTATTTATCTTCTCTTAGCCCAGTTTGATCCTTTCCCCTCCCTCTTCTTCTGAATGTCTTGCAATCTGCCAATTGTAGTATTATTATCACAGTGTTAGATAACATTTCACTCTGTAAAGGTTATTGAAGAATGATCCGCATTGCAATATATAACGCCCCCTGTCCCAATAAAAGTGTCCCTTTTCGGGAATCTGACTTTTTAAGAGAATGTTTTTTTTTAATTTTATTAGTGGTGAATGAATTACCAATTTTACCCCTAGTGGGTCCACAGTGATGTGATGGTTTACTTTTTAATGCAAGAAGAGGTTAAATTGGTAATATTAGAAAAATAGTACATTGACTTTTCAAATGAGACACTTATTTTGGGACGGAGGGAGTATATTGTAGTACTGAAAGAATGAGAATCACTGTCTAAAGAAAGAAATGGAGAGCACTGCTGGAAAGCATCATCATCTACTTGATGTCCTTGAGAGAATTATGAGTTGGAAATATTAATCCCTTTGAAGTCTTCCGTAACCGAGTAATGTCATCTTTATGGTTTCATGTGAGGCCACAATGATCTGATTCTTCTCTCCTCTGAAATTAACATAAGATAGAAAGGTATCAGTTTCCTTCCAATTTTACCGCAGGCATATGTAACGTTATCCAGTGTTAAAAATGAGTCAGAAGAGTCACCCCATTTACACATAATGAGAAGGGCTGTTGAATTTACGAAGAACTTTTCTCAGAGAGGTTATCAACATTTACTCTATTCCTCTTACAGAGAAAAAAAGGTTTTATGTAATTATCATCCCTATACACGGTGTGCATGGTTGCCATGTAAAAATTCAGCTGAATCAGATCAATGTGGAGGAAGTATTGAAATTTGTTGTTCAGATATTCTTTCTTCGTTTCTTTAGGTAAGTCAACACTTGGGAATAAAAATAAAAATATAAGTTTTGCAATTACTTATTTGTTGCTCTAAGGGTTAACATTGCTTAGAATTTTGGGATTTGTGAAGGTCTAAGTGATTTTATGGTGGTTCATAGATGGACTGTGTTTTAGCAAATGTGGTTTGATGGCTATAAGGTGTTGATTTTCCTGAAAGTAGCTTGTTGGATTTTATGGACAAAAATGAAGTCAGGTAGTTAAAGGAGAATATTTCAGTAGTGTGACGAGGCAAACAATCTCAAATATTAACCCATAGAACTCTTAAAATTCAATATAATTTACTCTACTCTTATTAGTAAGTCCTATTTATATAAATTTCAGCAAACTTCCTGGCAGGTAAAAGACCTAAAACCAAGGCAAACAATATTGTTACCAAATAAGAATTGAAATTTTGGATTAGCTGGATTAATTTAGTCATAACATACCCAAGAAAATATTCTACTTGAAATCAAATTATGAACTCAATAAAAAAGGAAACTATTTAAAAATAGGAAGTATGAGGAATAGAATTTCCTATGAGAAGTTTCCCGAAGGAGTACTTTCTAAATTTTGAACTTAACTGATCAAATTTATAGCCAAAGGATTACTAATTCAAAACCAAAATTTTCCAATCCAAAACATTCCTAACATGCAAAAACTGAACAACTAAGAAAGTAATGACTCAAGCAACTACCATGGAGTCATGGACGCTTTCCATTGGACTAAAGTCCTTTTGAGTGACCTTAGGCCCGAAGTGTTAGTTTAAGCTTCCAAAGAGAATATTTGTTATTGGGACTCTTCTAAATGGGTGAAGTATCAGTGTCAGACACATGACATTTTGACATGGATTTGGGTCTGTGCTCAATGCATCTGACAGGTTATGCACTTGATAAACATATAAACTCTCTTAGAATATTCCTTTAAATTATTTCTTCAACATGAGTGAAATTCTCATGTTGCATACTCTGTAATCTATATTATATAAAACACGTTTTTTTTCATTAAATAATAGAGAAATAATGTTTAAAAGATGGATATTTAATCGTTGAGTTTGAGACATCCCGATGCGTAAACATATACCAGCAGGTCCAGCTCAAAACAGGTACTCGAGTTCATTTAACATAGGATACAAAATCAGAGCTTCAGTTTTAAGAGGTTGGATAGGGATTCTCCTCTCTGTGGATTTGCAAGTGTTTGGAGATCGATTCCTAAACTGTTCAATTCTTTCTAAATTTGGAGTCCATGCAAAACAATGTATATTTCTTGGACAGTAGCTGCTCGTGCCCATGGGCGAGAAACGGAGTGGTTTATGCCCAAATAAAATGTCGAACTTGTTGCTAATTCTGTTTACAACCTTTGCTGTTTGTTGCTTGAGAAGTTGTCTTTTCATCAGAAGTTACAAGGGTTGGCTTAATTTGTTAATTTACAGTAACTTGCAGAAGAACTTGGTAAAAGAGCTAATTTATGTAGTATGTTACTCAATTTCTACCTTCTCACCCACCTGATTCAAGTATGAAGATACTTTTTTTTCCCTAGTTAAGTACGAAGATACTTCAAGTCTCATCAACTTGGTACAAAATTATTTCAAAGTTTCATTTTGTAATTTTTTTTTTTGATAAGTATTTATATAAAGGCGCGCAAAGGGGGCGCGCATCCCTCATACAACAGCATGAGACTAAAGGAAACCCTATCCCCTGAAGCTATCAACCAAAATCATGAGATCCTCCACCAATTTACAATATCGCTCATGAACTTTTAAAATGTAATGAACCAAGTATAAAGAATTTAAACGCCCAAATAGGATTTTCCTCCCCTTTGACAGATCTCCTATTCCTCTTTCTCCATAAACTTGTCCATAAACAAAGGGGGAACCTCTCTAACTCTAAGCATTTTCCTCCCCTTTGACAGATCTCCTATTCCTCTTTCTCCATAAACTTGTCCATAAACAAAGGGGGAAACTCTCTAACTGTAAGCATCTCGAGCTTGCTTCCCCATTATTCACCCTCTCCAAGCTTCAAGTATACTCCTCGTGAAAACGGCATGACCCATTTCACCCTGAATATGGCGAGAGGCAAATCCCACCCCTCTCTAGCCACTGAACAATGCAAGGGAAGAAGATCGTTCATTGACTCCTCGGTCCCTCTTACACATGCAGCACTAATTGAAAATGATTTACTGTCTTGTCCTTAAGCTGTCAATTGTCAGAATCCTACCCAAGATTGCCGTCCATCTTAGAAGGCCACCTTCAATGGGGCTTTTGTCCATTTTGTATTGTCATTTATGTGTCTGCATGGAGTTGTTCTGTTGTTATCTTACTATGTGGTCTAAAGATGTATCAAGGGTACAGAAATCTTGAGTCAGTAAGCTTTCTCGTTATTGTTGCTTGATTCTTCTGCAAGTATCTTTTAAATAAATTTAAATAATAGCTGAAACTTACATTTTAACTATCAAAAAAGTATTTTTTATTTGAGGAAAGAGAATGTTAGCTGATGTATCATTGTCGTTTTAATTTTTTATACTTAATTACTATGAGAGATGAAGGATACAAAGGAAAGAACCATGGAAAAGAAACAAGGAAACCTGTTGAAGTGTGTTTTCATTTTCATTTTTATTTTACATTTGGCTTTCTAGTAAAACAAAAGATATAATAACTATTTTATACTATCTTATGATAATTAATTGATATTATTCCACCAATTCTAGCAGTTTGTGGTTCTAAAAGAAAGAACAAGAGCTTCAAGGACGAGGAGTACTTTATAAATGCAGTGCCAACAAATCAAGTAGGTCATTAATCTTGGTTTAGACGTTAGTTTCGCTATTTACTCTATCATGTAATTTTTTCATTGTGAATTTAAGTTGCTATTGGCTTAACTGAGTGAGTACTTGTTTTCTTTTGGGTAAGTAACTCAGTAAGTACTTTTCTCACATGGTATCGTGTTCTTATACATGGTGTAAATTTGTTTTGTATTTCAAAAATATAGCAATGATTATATGACTTGCATAATAATTTTAATTTTCAGCATTTGGAGGCAGGACTCTCGGTAAGAGCTAACCAAGGCTTTGAGTCAAACAGGTGAAATTTTATCTATATTTGTGCATATCACTCTTTTTGCTGGCTTGTTGATATTGTTCTTTTTTTTTTTTTTTAAAAAAAAAAAAAAAAAAAAAAAAAATTATAAAGTAAGATTTCATAAAAGGCGCTCAAGAGGGGAGTTCTCCCAAAGAACTGATTATTAATAAGCAAGATTTCATTAATATTTTTTAATTGATTTTATGATATATTGTAATTTATCTAAACCTTGAATGGCATCAATAAAGAACTGAATGCAACATTATTTTCTTTGATTTGAGCTGAATCATTCAAAGAAAAATGCTGTAAAGAGTATGAAATTTATTGGGATAAAACTTCTGGACTCAGTAATTTGTTTGAATTTAATGAGCTTTAGTGTTTAGAGGCTGAGTGTTATCTGAAGAGAAAGTAGGACATGCCTAACAAAAGTAAAAATGATTAATTTTCAGTGTGAAATCACTTTTTGGTATACTAATATTGCCTAAAAGGTTTTCCTTCTGACCATTTGCATAAGTTCCAGAAAATGGCAAGTGGTGTAGGTCATGAGAATTTTTGATCGGTAGTTTGATGGCTGAGTTTATAGAATCATGTTTTTTTATATTTAATTTTTCTGGAGAGAACAGGTACCGTGGGGGTTAAAAGATTTTTGTTGATATGTAATATACATTTTTGTTTGTCTTTTACCTTACAGTAGGACTCATATGAATTGAGTGACGTATCATGGTTGATTAATTAAATAGGTTGGATGCTGCTGTTCTGGATCTAGTTGCTGATAATAGTGAGGGTTTGCAGAAACAAAAATCTACATTTCATTGGGATAAGGTACTTCTAATTATCATATGTTCAATTCTTACTGTTATTTTACACTATATTCTTTTACGCACTGTATTTGTTTGCCTGGCAGAGGGGTAAGAAGTACATCAAATTAAACAATGGGGATCGTGTGACAGCTAGTGGAAAGGTACATTATTGTGAACTTCTGCAGTTCAGCATATATATGAAGATTTATGCTTCTTTTAAATCATGTGGCATATAGAGGAAACAAACATAGATAAAAAGTACATTGTCATATAATATATATTTGCACTTTAGGTGTACTTTTTCTGTTTATAGTGGTTGATTTTCTTTAAGGTTGACATACAAAACAGTGCGCACATGATTCATTTTATGGAAACTGGTGGATGAATTTCATATCCTAAAATTATTGGATTGTAGCCTTTCCTTCTTCCATTCATAACCCAACATCGCATTTGTTATCAAGTTGCTGCTTTAAGTTATCACTTCATGTTTGATTTGAGCAACAAATCCCATTTATTTTAGATATTTACATGTATGCTGTTCTTTCCTGTGGCCCATATTTTACTTCTTGTGAAGAAAAGCATGGCGAGATTAGATATTACATTGTTTTTTAAATGACAATGTAGCATAGGGGAACAAACAACCATTTAAGTGCTCTATCATTTTGTAATCTTTGTGAGTTTATGCATTTTGCTTTAGTACTGGAAGAAAACCTTCCAAGGTGCTTATTTGGACCTGAGTTGACCCAGCTTCAAACTTCTGTCTATTGACAAGAAGTCTTGGAGCTTGCTTGTTTAGATTTACCTGTAATTTCTAACCACTGGATTTTATTATTTCAATTTTTGATCTCCCGGAAAGTAAAGATGATGGATAACTCTTTTTACTTTTTATTCTTTTATTGAGGAGCTCTTAATGTTTTTTGGTGAGTCGCAGTTGAAACAGAACACAAATTGTTTTAGGTTTTTTGTTGTAATAGACTGTTGATTAGAACCTAAAATATATAAACATTTTGATACTCAGATATACAGAAGAGTAGCAGCAGGGCTTGATAAATTAGTCCTGTCCTAATAGATCTTTATGTCAAGCAATTAGACTTTTGAGATGACTTTCTACCATAGTATATTATCCTATTTCTTTAATGTCTTTGCCTCCTCTTTTCTTGCTTTGATTATGAATGGTGTATTAGATGTGGGTGAATTGGTGGTTGCATTATTACCACAATAAAAGTTGATTCTGCTTTTGTACTTTTGTGGAGGTTCTCCAGGATTATTTACTTTATCTTTTCATGATGTGTAGATAAAGACGGAGAGTGGTGCAAAGATGAAAACTAACAAGACTGGGATATACAAGAGGTGGAAAGAACGTTCCCATAATAAAATATCTTTTAGAGGAAATAATAATGAAGGCAGTGCTAAAGAAGCCACAAGCATAGCAGGTAATTGTTTTAGGCTTTTGTTGGACTTCGGTTGAATGTTACTCTAATGATTCACTGAATGTCATTGAAATATTATCATATTTTCCTCTCTTGTTAATTGTTATCAAATGTTTTGTCTTATTGGTATGCTTTTCCAAGATATCAATTAAATACACTTTTTTTTCCTAGTTAAAACCTTTTCGGCACTTGAAACTTTGTTCTCAGTAGATATCTCAGCCTTCTTCCTCCTTCCTCTCCTTTCCAAATGTCCTTGCCATTTGCCAGAATCTATCAATGAATAACGATTGACTGGTTTTGCCAAATCCAGTTCCTGCCTTGGAAGAAAGCAGTCTTCTTTAGATGGGCCTTGGTTGGGACTTCTACCGGATCATCGGAAGCAATCATGTTCATAAGCTCACTTCTCTATTATTGCCTTTTAGGCCTTCAATACATAGACAACTCAAAGCCCCCTTTGCACGATGAAGGCTAACACAGTGAGCTCAAGCTGGCCACTAACCACTAATAGAAAATACCTACACACTATATCTCAGACAGCTGGTAATTCCTCTGGTTTGTGCTAAGGAATGCATCGCTTAAATAGTGTTGGGAATAAATTTACAGATAGAGTGGACAATGATACTGTGTGTGTGTGTAAGATAGATTTTTGAACTTTTATGTTCACTTGATAAAAATTGTTGAAAATGGAACTGATCCTTAATTATTTTTTTAAAAAGGGATCAATGTCAAAAGGTATGTTAATTTGGGGAACTTAAGTCAAAGAATCTGTGAGCAAATGAGTGTTATGTGCCCATTAGCCGATAATCTTTATAATGCCTATCTTAAAAAAATGGGAACTTTGCACTTACAAAAAAAAAAAAAAAAAAAAAAAAATACTGGGAACTTTGAAAAATAATCAGATTTTCATTTCATACTTGTTAACGCTTTTCAATCCTAAATGTGTTATGGTGTTACATGGCTTTTGTCACCAGGTACTTGTGTCACATTAAGAAATGTAACTAAGCCAAATTACCAAATAGAGTTACTCGAATTTGGTCTAGTTGCGTGATAAAATGTGACTTTTTTTCTTCTTTTTTTTATAAAAATAAAAAATAAATTGCACGTCTCATTTTTTGAACCTATGGTTTTTAAGTTGGGGCAAAAGGGATTCCTATGCTTAGTAATGCTGCTTATTTTTCGTGAGTTAATCATCTTTAGATAATGTTGTACTTTTTTCTCTCTTTTATCCGAGAAGATTATTTGACTATATGATTTGCTACAAACTTAATGCCAAAGCAGCCCTGCTCTTCCATGCATAGCATTGGGTATTTAACAGGATTAGGGCTTAAAACCAGTCAGAAAAATGTGGAGTTGTGAGAATATTAGCGTGCATCCTTTTTTAGTAGAATATGTGCGATTCTCAAGATCCTTGGCTACTTCAAGTTGTTTATTGCGTTTAAAATGAGTAGAGCCCTTTCAAGTCAATTGCAAAAGCATAGCACATTGTGCCTTACATTATCATGTTCTTTTGGCAGGAGCTCATGGATTACAAGGAGATAACAGAAGGTTCAGAGGTGGCAATAGGAATCGCTCGGTGCCTAATGCTCATGTGCGTTCAGAAATTAAAGATCTTGAACAAGTACGGAAAGGAAGGGAGCAAAAGGCTAACAGAGTTTCTTATTTGAAGAGCAAATCTAAGAAGGGGAAGAAATTTGGTAAAAATGGTAAAAATGGTAAAAGAGGGAAGACAAAGTAAGGATCAGAGAAGAGTGTCATTCCGACTACTAATTGCAGTTTTCTTCTTGATTGATGTACTCATGTTCTTTTATCCATTTTTGAGCAAGTTTTCTGCTTTACAATGAAGTACGTAAATCATGGTATTATTATTTTCTATTTTTATTTTCTTTTTCTTGCTAGTCGCATTGTAAGTGTGTAACTTAATCCGAACCACAATGTTTTTATTGGATGTGTAAATTAAAGTGCTACTCTTTAGTTCTTGCTTAAGGCAATTCAATGAAGAAAATGATTTATGTTTTTCTGGTAGTGTTTGATTTGGTCTGTAAATACAGGATGTGTTGACCTATTTATTGTATCTAAGCAAAGATTATCAGATAGATGGGATACTGTGTCATCATGCCCCATCCAATGGGAGTGTGCCACTAGGACAAGTTTCGTGATTGGGTGGGGATATCATTGTCTATGCACATGCTTCTTACGATTTGTTTTATGAAGTTAGTGAAGGAAAGGGAAAAGAATGCAATTTATGCTTGGAGACAAAGGACTGGCTGGAGGAAGATGTTGGGAACTAGAGCAATGTTGGTTTTGTGGAAACCATTACGAGGGGGTATATGATCAGGTTGAAGTAAAATGGAAGAAATCAGGGGATCTTTTCCGGTATGAATGGTTGCCATCTTTTTCCATAATTGGTTAGATGAGAAATTATTACATGGTCAGGGATTATATGGTCTTAATCAATCACAATATGACATGCAAACAAAATTTTGAATAAAATTGATACATTTACTTGTGCATGAAGTTGTAATTAGCGAGATTACATGGTCTCAGACCATGTTAAAATTTCTCTGGTGAGACAACGGAGGTGGCGGCATTCAAGATCAAAGTCCAAAGCCCTCCATGAAATCCCTAAAATAAGTTGAACGAAGTCGTTAAATGAGTGCTTGGAAAGAGCACCAGGGATAAGGAAGAAAAGTTGAACAAGGGATAAGGAAGAAAAGTCGAACAAAGTCGTTAAATGAGTGTTTGGAAAGAGCACCAGGGATAAGGAAGAAAAGTTGAACAAGGGATAAGGAAGAAAAGTCGAACAAAGTCGTTAAATGAGTGTTTGGAAAGAGCACCAGGGATAAGGAAAAAAAGGTGAACAACGGATAACGAAGAAAAGTCGAACAAAGTCGTTAAATGAATGTCTGGCAAGAGCACCAGGGATAAGGAAGAAAAGTCGAACGAAGTCGTTAAATGAGTGTTTGGAAAGAGCACCAGGGATAAGGAAGAAAAAAAGTTTACAAAGAGGAATATTAGATAATTTTATATTTCATTCTTGCATGTTAAAATTTGAAGAAAAGTACTAATTGTTTTTTATTTATTTTCTTTAACCAACTTAAAATTTTATACCCTCACTTATCATTTAGCATATTTGTTTCATTCATAATAACACTTAGATTATAATTAGACAAACGTATTTGTCAAAATGTAAAAAAAATGAGTATGAATGAGCAAGGTCTGCATGATAGTGGTCAGACACAGATTTATGAAGGGCTCAGTGAGGGCATGAGCCCCCACTGAATTTTTTATTATTACATTTTATATTACTAAATTTATACTTTTTTTTTACATTTATACGTATAAAATTTTGAAATTGCCCCCACTGAAATTATAAAAAAGCCCTACTATATAAATTTGCCCCGTCATATGAATTCCTAGATCTGTCCCTGATAGTGGTGTGACATTCATACTTGATTCTTGTGCAAAAAGAAGCATATTAATAAAATGAACGTTGACAACAAACTAGAGGAATTGGTTTGTTTCTTTGCAATCACCTACTTGGTTTTCAGACTAAAAATATTATTTGTAACATTAGTTTGAACGGTAAGAATTTTTTATATTATTGAAATATTGGAGGAAATTAATAATAAAATAACAATAATAATACTTACAGCAAAATATTGAAGGCATGTACAATTGGAAGAAGAACATGATCGATACTGAAAAGCTATTCAAGATCAACTTCTCTTCAAAGAAGTTGAAGGAAAACAAGAAGAGAAGTGTTATGAGTGTGAGAGTGGATTCACATGTATATGCAAGGGAGGAACTAGTAATGGGCTAACCTGGACTATAGCCTAGGTCCAATTGAAAAAAAAAAAAAAAATAGTACTATTGTTCCTATAAGTTCATGTACTACTCTTCCTCTTCCTATCAGCCCTTTACAAAGGTCAAACCTTAAATATGAGTAAGTCTACGAACCATGGACATGTTCAATTACAAAATAAACCATAATAAAAAATAATATGGCCTAACCCAGTAAATCAAACACATTGTTAGTCTATGGAAGAAGACATTATTGTTAATCCAGTGAAATATTGAATTTTATTTTTGTAAAAAAGGGGTGGGGGGCTTTGTTGATGATTTGATAATTTATTGTTAAATTGGGTAATTTATTATATAATAGATTAATAATTAGTCATGGGCGAAGCACATAGGTCTTATTTTTTAATGTGAATTTATTGATAAGGAACATATATATCGGGCATTCTTTTAGTTGTTTGTTTTAATACTTATATGAAACAGACTTCAATGGGTTCTTAACTGTGAAAATACGTTAGAGTTTGAAAGTGTAAATGTGTTAGAAGGTTATAGATTATTAGATTTAATTGAATAACTGATACATGATAATTATGTATTTAAAGCATGGATGACACACTAAGCAATTATGGGTTTATTTATTTTTAGCCCTCTCTACTTTGCAATTTTGGCTCCGCTCCTGTGTATATGTACCTCTTCCAAAAAAGTAGTTGTGCAGAAAAGTTTCAATTTGATTCAATTTAGCGCAAATAGACACATTTAAGTTGTTTGACTAAATTGCCTTTATATACACATTTTACATATTATTTTAAAAATAAACATATTATATAGTTGTTTTTTAATTGCATTTTATAAATTATTGTTGTTTTAAATATTTTGATTTTAATAGTTAGATTTAATTGAGCAATCGTGATATTTTATGGTTATTCTTATTTTCTTTTGTGGCTAGTCGTAGTGTAAATCAAAATGTTATTATTGGATGTGTAAATTAAAGTGCAATTCTATTAGTTCTTGCAGAAACAATGGACATGCTACTCTCACAAATCAATTCAATAAAGCAAATATTTACGTTTTCCTAGTAGTTTATAGTTTATAATTTGGTCTGTAAATACAGGATATGTTTGACCAATTTATTGTAGTATCTAAGACCATCTCCAATGCAAAATGCTATTTTAAGCTGCCAAATCTATATTTGGATAGGAGCTATAGTGTCAAAATACTATATTTTAGCAATTCTGCGTGCATTTCATCCAAAATGCTATTTTTTTGACACAATCACCATTTTTTTTTTCAATTACCATTTCCAACTATTCTTTTTCAACTACTATTCTTTTTCAACTACTATTTCCAACTACCAAACCAACAATTATCTATTCTTCACAAAAGTCCTGCATGGACTACAAGAAAATTTTAATGGGACATAAGATTAGATCTAGTTGAAAAGAAGACAGAAAAATCTTCACAGAATTTCTTTTTTATTATTATTTTTTTCTACCACAAATCAATACTAATAAAATTATTATTCAAAAACAGAAGCCATACAATCAGAGTTAATTGCAATTACAAATTTACAAGCCATGAAGGCCATTCATCAATATCAGAATCACAGGAGCCCATTGACTTAACTTATGTTCCACTGTATTGTGTGAGCTTTAGAAGTCCATTTAAATTGGAAGTTTACACCGTGTTGTAGACAAAGCAGAGACACTTCTAACACCGGTGAGAAGAACAACATCAATATTCAATTTAAACCAACCATCAGCAACTGGAGATCGGAGACCAACCATCAGTAGTTGGAGACCGGAGACCAACCATCTTCCAAACTGTCCTAACAACTGTGCAATATAAAAAGATTCAATTTTTCTTTTTTAATTAAGAAAAAAGAAATGTCAGAAAATCAGATACACAATTTAAGTTCAAGAATAAAACCCAATAATCTGTCCAAATACAAAGAAAACAAGACATAATGTAAAATTGTAAATGTTAAATTGTGAATGCATAATGAGTGGATTGTGTATGACTTAAGTAATGGCAACAAAATTAAGAGCAATAGTGTATTTAATCAATATAATTTAATCTTATTCAATTTAATACAGGCATTCAAAGAGGACACTAACCAATTCTTTGTTGTCATCCCCAGTTTCAAGATCCCCAGTTATAACATCTATGGCTATGTGCTTAGAATTGCCATGAACTAAAAATCAATCCCTTACTTTGCTATGTGCTTAGAAAATTCCAATTTAATCAATCAGATTATTTTAAGGCAATTAACACCATCAAAACAATTAACACCACCAAATTATTTAACCATTTTGAAAATTATTAAAGTAAGATGGACCTTTCCATTATATTTGCCTAAATTAAATACTATTTTTTAGAAAGAAAACTAAATTTAGTTACCTTCCTTTCTTTTTCCACAAAAAATGCACAAATCTTTGACCTTTCTACAAAGGTAAAGAAAATTAAACTCAGTTACTTTCCATTCTGACAAAACCAAAAGATAACCTAGCTGTTATTGTCTATGAAATCATATGAAAATCTTACACAACCAAGCCAAATTGGAAGTGCGAACAACCAAATCAAATAAACCTTTAAACCAACACAACCAAATCCAACAGGGCAAATTATCAACCCTCAACCAAAGCACAGAAAATTAAAAGTTTGAACAACCACATCCAGAACAACAAAGAGTTGTTCCCTAAAAATTGATACTATGAGAACTCAGTTTTTAAAAGAACATTGTTAATGTGGATGGTGCCATTTGATTACTCTGCAGTTGTCAATCAAGCAATTATGGTTTCTCCACATTTTCTAGTATCTATAGATTGAAGAAAAGAACAAATAGCATAGCCTCACTGATTCAATTATGGTTTCTTTGCAGTTGTTAGTGAATGCATTATGATTCTATGACCATTATGATTCGAATAAGAAAATTGCTAGGTCTTTTTTGAGCTCATGTCCTCATTCAGTGATTGAGGTTTGATAATATCACGTACTCAATTTGACAGATAAGGGTGCAAACTCATCATGAGAAAACCCTTGTTGTCGAATTAATTTCAGAAAAGAAGCATCCAAGTATTCTAACATGATAGGATCGCTCATGCCGGTTCATGTAGTGCATATAAATCAAAAGAATCAAATTTTTTGTGTTCTTATTAGAACATACTGATGCATTTGGAGAGGTAGATTATGATCCTAGGCGGAATTGAGTTTTTCAAAATACGGATTTAGAGAGAGAAAGAAAAAGTGAAAGAGGGGAAGCACATCAGCTACCTCTTGATGATGAGCATTCACAACAGTTCCTCCCCTTATCAAGATCTTCGAAGGAGATAACGGAACTCCACACTCAGAATCACCATATCCAACTTTAGCTTCACAAAATTGTCAACAAAATGAATCAAAAATCTTCATTACAGACCCAATTCCTCCATTTAATTGCAGAGAAAAAATTGGCAACAAAATTACCGATCTGAGAAGAGAGAGAGAGAGTGATATATATATATATATATATATATATATACACACACATATGAAGATGAGAGGGGAAGAGAAAATATAGATTTGAGAAGAGAGAATTTACCCGGTCGGTGTTCGTCACCTTTAAGTGCCGGTCGTCGTCGATAATTGTTGGTTCGTTGCAGATGAGAGGGAGAGAAAGAGGACAGGGCAACTAAAGGGACAGATTGAATGCAACGAAGGGTAGAGGAGAGGCGGATAGGATTGAGGGAGAGAGATGAAACTGCGTTGTACAGAGAAATGAGAGAGTTGCCAAAAAAAAAAAAAAAAAAATTTGACAGCTGTTACATTCGAGAGGAAATTTGAAAATGTCAAAATTTGAGAGTCCAAAAGAGAGTCCATTAGAGAGTTTTTTTTTCACCACCTCTGATAATTTGAGTTTGAGAGTCTAAAATGAGAGAGCACTGGGGTTGCTCTGAGCAAAGATTATTAGATAGTTCGGATATGCTTGATCATGCCTCCATCCAATTGGATATGCTTCATCATGCCCCCATCCAATTGGAGTGTGCCAATTGGACAAGTTTTTAAGATGTAGCCTTTGTAATTTTTTTTTGATAACTTGAAAGGTGATTTGACAAATTCTTCTAATGACATTTCGTGATTGGGTAGGGATATAACTGTCTTTGTGCATGATTCACACTAATATTTCTTAGTGCCTTTTACGGTTTATAAATTTAGTGAAGGAAAAGGAAAAGAAACAATTCATGCTTAGCAGTGCTTTGAAAATAACATTATGAATAAAAATACATTGCAGAAAATATAAATTTTTCTAGAAGTAACTGAAATAAAGCATTCCTATTGTGTTGCCAAAGTCTTCTTGGAAGAGTTTCTACATACAAATCAATAATGTATGTACATAGAAGAGAGTTTATTTTCTGAAGTCCCTTTGTGGATTACTCAAGAAATTAATTTGAAGGTAGAGATTTCTAAGTACGAAAATATTGAGCTTGGAGACAGGGTTTTCTGGTGGGAGATGGTGAGAACTAGAACAAAGGTGGTTTTGTGGAAACCATTATGAAGCAGTACAATCATGTTGAAGTAGAGTGAAAGAAATCCTTGGACCTTTTCCGGTATGAATGATTGTCATCCCTTTTAATAAGTGGCCTGATGATAAACTATTATATGGTCCGAAATTACACCTGATAATCACAATATGACACACAAGCAAAAATCTGAATAAAGTTGACACATTTACTTGCATGTTGAGTTGTGATTAGACGAGATTTACATGATCCAGGATCACGTAAAAATTTCTCCCGATTTTATAAACGAGTGGTAGCACTCAAGATCAAAGTCCAAACTTTCCATGAAATCCCTAAAGTAAGTCGGACGAAGTCATCATTAAAGGAGTGTTTGGAAAGAGCACCATGGATAAGAAAGAGAGAAAATTGAAGAAAGACCATTTAATTGGATTTTTATAGAGTTTACATAGGGGAATATCATATCATTTTATATTTTATCTTTGCATGTTTTAAACGGAAGAAAAGTACTAAAAGTTTTTCTTTCTTCTTCTTCTTTTTATTTATTTTTAAAACCATGTTAAAATTTTAAGTTTGTCTTTAACAACACTATAGCCTCACTTGCCATTTAGCATATTTGCTTCATAATTCCTTGTCAAAATGTAAAAAGAATGAGAGACAATAAGCAGGGTCTTCATGATAGTGTGAATATTGGTATAGATTATATTCGAAATGATCAACTTTATTGTGCCACTAAACATTATTACTGAGCTTGATACTAAAGTCGATATCATCCAAGATGTGTGTATATAAAGAAAAAAAATTGATAAATTATACTTATCTCTTTGTATTTAATATCTAAATAACAGGAATATTTTTTATGCTATTAAAAATAACACTAACCTTCCATATTAAAGTTGTCAGTTTAGGATTATACTCATTGTAATTTTATTGTAATTTGTCATTACAATACATGGATAAAAATGTCTCTCAATTTTTCTAAGGGCAAAATTGAATTTTGCGTAAATTTCAAGTATGAGATAAACTAACGAATTTTATGACCGGAGAGGTATGGTCACTATTATTCAGGTGAGGTCAGTATTCTTTTTGAAACTAAAAAAAAGGTCTCCATTAGTTAGACATTCAACAAAAAAAGGTTTGTGTAATTTTAAAAAATAAAAATAAAAATTACAACGATTGGATATCTCTTTTAACCAATTTACTGAAATGCTATCACTATTATGTATTCAGAGTAAGGTCCAAGTTGTGTCCGGTTCAAGTGAGCTAGAAAGAAGCCCAATACCAAGCCCGACTATGAATTAAGTCCATATAGAAAAATCCAATCTACAAAAAATGCCCACACCCATCTCAAAGCCCATCCCATCTAAAGTGCTACAACCCTACAAAGTACAAATTACTAAAAGGCAAGTGCAGTGACCAAAACAAAGTCATATCATATTGTCACCGCGACACCACAAAGTGACAAGCTTTTACAAACCATTTGTTTATTAATGTAATATAAGGGCTGGTGCTCCGCGTTCCCACCTCAAAGTTTAGCGGACTAATACTAAATTCATTTATACTCATTTCATCTTTCATTTGAATTCGATGTAAGACAAATTTTTTCTTATAACATTCTCTCCTACCCAAACTCGTAACACTCCTCATTGTTACTTTTAATAGTATGTTTTTATAAACTTTTTTTTTTAATAATTAATCATTAGTATTTCAAATTATGGTTGTGTATTGAAATTTTCTATAGAGTGAAAGGACATTGCCATTGTTGTCCAAATCATCTTGCAGAATGTATCTTGTAGGAAGTCATGGATGTCGTGGGGGTTAACCTTTAGGATGTTTTCATGTAGTATGTTTTTTTGTTTCGTCTATGGGTTAGCTTCCTATGCTTCATCGCCACCTCCACTGCATTCTATTGCCAATTTCACCTTGACTAAAATTTATGTCTCACTTTTCATTTGGATTCGATGCTAGACGAGTCTGCCCTATAACATTCTTTCTCATTCGAATTCGCAACACATGCAGTCGGGGGTCACCTTGCCTACCTAGGCACACTAGGGGCCTTTCCGGCCGATTTGCATGGCACCAGATAAAGGAATGGGTTTGATTTTGATACCAACGATAACGAGTGGGTGCTTCACAATCCGACCCAAAAGCTTAAGCTATTAGTTACAGCGATCACCCAATCGATTTATATTTATTTCACTTTCAATCCGAATCTGATGTGTGAGAACTCTCCCCTTGTAACAATTAGCTATTAGAGAACTACAGGGCGGTCCTGGGGCCAAGGCGACCAAGGCGGTCGCCTAGGGCCTCCAATTTGGAAAGGCCTTAAATTTAGTACCATAATGTAATATAGTAGTATATGTTTGAAATATCACTACTTTCCATAATCGAACATAACTAGCATTGTAATTAATTAAAAGACATCCATTTTAGGCCATAATTTCCATAATTTAAAGACAATACACAATCATATATGATGTAAATTTATGATAATAAATAACTTTCAAAAAAAAAATTATGAAAATAAACACGTACTTATAATATCAATTTATATATATAATACAATAATTTATATGGTAAAAATAATTTGTTTGTATCCCTTCCCTTCAAAAGAAAAAAGAATTTTTTATATTTAAGTTTTAAACAAGAAACTGATTTATTTTATTATTATATTAGTTTTGAGCTCACATACATGTATGATAGTTAAGCCTAGTTTAAACAACTAAATTTTTAACTCATGAATGCAATCAACTGTCAAATTTTTAACTCATCCAAGGTAGTGATTGGAGTACTTTAGTTTATAATTTCATATCTCAAAATGTAAGGCGGGTCATATTTACTTTGATGAAGTTAAATTTTGATTTTTGTGACTAAGTTGTGTTGAATATTTTTAAATTTTTTAATGTAAATTGTATTGTGCTCTTCATAAACCCCCAAGACCGATTATTGCTTTATGTGTTTTCAACCTTAAAATATTTTATGTGTTTATCGTCTAATTTTAATGTAAATTTCGCACCAATATAAATTTTTTGCTCATGTGAAACTTTATGTATAAATAGCCTCGCATTTGAAAATTCGTGCCTCTCAAAATTTTGGGAATCTCAAGGCCGGCCTTTGGAGAACTGGAAAGGCAAGTGGCTCTCATGCCCACTATCTTTGTCAGACCTCACCCTTTTTCATTTCTTAATCTCTTTATCAAACCATAAGAGAATTCAGAGTTGGTTTTTTATTGAGAAAAATGGTGAAAGAAATAGATTACTATGATGTTCTCGACGTTAGTCCTTTCGCTTCCGATGAGGAGAGCCGCAAGGCTTACTATCTCAAGGTTCCAAATTTAATCTAAGAAATCCTAATTTTATCTTTAGTGTTTGTAATTTGATGGTTTATATATATCTATATATATATGTGAAATATATACTTATATTTGGTAATTTCGTTATCAAAACAAGTCCGATTGACTTGTAATTTTTCGGTTCAAAATTTTGAAGATTGAAGATCGGATGCGGATTTGAAGAAGTTCAACTGTTCATGATATACAATATTCTGAGATGATGAGAACAATGCTCAAAGAAGTTTTGAGAGGTAGTGAGAACATTTAGGAAGGGTTTTGGAAGGTTCGGAAATAGATTATACATTCTGGCCATCTTGAACTGGTTCAATAGGGCTGAACTGGTTCAATTTCTGCAGAATTTCAACACTATCCATCTTGAACCGGTTTAAGGGGATTGAACCGGTTCAAGAACCAAAGTTGGCAAGGTCGAAAACTTTCTGGCCTTCTTGAACTGGTTTAGCCCCTCTGAACTGGTTCATGGTCTACTGGTAGCATTCTAACTTCAGTTTCCTTCTTCCTGAATGTTTCGTTTTTGATCCCAACTTCTTTCCAAGTTCTATGCGTGAAATTTTTCATATTTTTAGAGGGATTAGGACTTTATAAACTCTATATAAATGTTAGTCTTCTAGGTTTATTTATGACTTTAGGGAAAATCAATTCTATATTTTCAGAAAGCCTTTTAGAGAGAGAAAATTCAGAAAATCAAACCTAATTATTCTGAATTTATTTATGACATCATACACATATATTCATGAGTGATTTAGTGGTGTTGTTCTCTATCTCATCGGAATTGGAGCTATATTGAAGATTCAGAAATTCCGTATGAAGAACAAGATTTAATTCTTCTGCATCGAGTTCAGATCTTGAAGAGCAGAAGTAAAAATGATCACACTTTGCAAGGGTTGGAGTATTCGAGGAGTGTTGTCTGATCTACCTACTACTTTTCTACAAATATCAAACATAAGCCTGAGGTCAAGTTGCTGTTGGACGGAGAGTTGTAAAGCCAGAGGATTGTCAGCAATTGGTCTTTGGTAGAATGATAGGGTGTGAGCCAAAGTCAAAGCTCGGTGTACTTTGTCGTGGTTAGATTGGTCGCCGTCCTACCACAAGCTTAAAGACTGTGCAT